TCTGCAGCCATCCTGGTGTCAGTCAAGCCTTACATATGGGACTTTCTTTCCAGACAGCAGCACACAGACAAAATGTATTGAACACTGAACACAGTCTAGTTCTTCTCTTAAGGTCATTTTTTTCTGTTTGAAACTGCCATCATGTAATATACAAAACCTTCACTTTAACCCAAGGGAAAAAATGTGAGCAAATTTCCTTAAGAAATAAAAGATCTTTATTGATTTAGAAGCAATGTTGGGCAAACAAACAGGCAAATATCTGAGAAGAGATATCGTACATCAACTAGCACTTTAAACATTTGAAAAAAAAATGTGGGAAGTACTTACATGGACCAGTTTCTTATACAAGTGCTAAAGCATGGAAAAGCATCCCAAATCAAATAGAGTATTATGATCAAGGCGCAAAACCAGTAAAAACAAAACAAACAAAACAAAAATACAAAAGATACAAAGATAATGTGTCTATAGGAAATAAAAGTGTAAATAGCAGTACACAAACTGGCCCATGTAAAATACAAAAATATTCATTGAAGTCAGATCTTTCTAGAAAACAGTGCTTTGGAGGTATTTTAATATGAATCCGGTATATAATCTAAATGTAAAAACTTTTAAAAACATTAACAGCATTAAGCCAGTGCCACCCACTTGTTCAATTAGTCTTTTTAAAACGCTGTTTTGTTGACTCGTGACAAAGGTCTAATACCTGTGCTTTTGAAAGCATAATCCTTTCTTTTAAGATTAACAAGCTTATGCTAAAACAGTTTAAATGGAAAAATATTTTAAAAATTAGATTTCCATTTCATTCCTAACAAGTGTTTTAAGCTGGCCATGCAGTTCCCTGTTGCTTTAGGAGACGGTTAGTCAGAAATATGATTCTGAACCAATAAGGTTTTCAGGCTAAGTGGACAGCAAGTTAAAGTGACACAATCTCTGTCACTTCTATATAACTCAAAGGACAGTTACAGACATACACATGCTAACATGCAATTGCCTATAGGTATATGTATATGTATATGTATATGTATATGTATATGTACCATGTATTCAACATTAGCATTTTGGAAGCCAGACAGTTCTTCATTTTTCTGGTGAATGAAAGGCATATAATCTGCCCTTCCCAAATAACAAGAACCTTCTACATATGGCTGCAGATCAATATTTTAAGAAATGTTTGCTGAGTCTTACCAATATTTATGTATGTATGCATGCATGCACGAATGTATGTATGAATGCATATATGTATGAAAGATCTCCTAGAAGCTGCAAGGAATACATGATGTGTTAACTATCAGGCTGAAATAATTTGCTCTCATATAAGCATTAGCTGATGCATAGCAAATGAGCAACTGGTGCCATCTCTGCACACAAAACTGAATACAAAAGTACTACAATGAATAGTAACAATGTAAGTTTTGATTATCACAGAACCATTTAAACATGAAGCCAAATTAGTAAATGCGGTAGCAGTCGATGCAAACTGGAAATGAAGACGGTGTTAATGGACTAAGGCAAGACCATGACCATGACTTTTGGATTAGGTGCAAGCTATGTTGTGAGTGTAAGTGCACTTCGTATTCTAGGTTCTAAGACATACTGACATTTCTTGAAGAAAAAAAGGAAAGAACAAAGCACATTACCACCAACAAGGAAGACTGGAGGGTTCAAGAGAAATCTGCATTCATCTTAGTGCTGCATAGAGAGGCCAATTTCTGGGCACAAAGCACTAATGCCCTCATTTGGCACTGCCTAGCAATTATCTCTAAAGCACCTAAAAACATTGAAATGCCCAGTTGGAACTGCCTTGTGTCTTGCAATTTAAAAGATTGAAATATCCAGTTTTTTAAAATATTAAATAAAAAGATTAACATCTATTCTAAAATTTAAAAAGCTTTTGTGTTTTTGTCATTTCAGCCACATTAAATACAAATGTATTCAAAAAGCATGAGAAAAGGATTTTACTGGCAAGAGTGTGATACTGCTGGGCTCTGCTCAAATCTACTGATACTTCTTTCACAGGTCAAATATGGAGCAATGCCAAAGTAGCTAAGCCAACCTGCAAACAAAAATCCCAAACAATGCAAAAGGAGCTAGTACAAATTCTGGAGATCAGGTTGTTCAAAGTCAACCTCATGCAGGCAGAGAAAACCTTCTCTTTTTCCTACCCTGTACATTCTCGTCCAAATTTTTAAGTCAAACACTGAGATACAAATTCCACCCAGTGAACAAGAACCTGTAGCCCAGGTAATTTTGTACACGCCTTTTGCTATAGAAGTTTTAAACTCCCTTGTCAGGGAAACCAAACTCACATGACTCATTTGTAGTTGACAGTACTTGGGATTCTTCTGTTAAAGTTTGAAATCTACCATACCACCCATCTGAGAGCAGGACTGTAACTAAGTGTACCTTCAATAGTATTGCATACAGAAACTTGTACTTGCTTTATTATTTTGTAACAGAGATTACATGTGGATTAGTGTTACAGAGTCTGATATCCAGCATAACTCTTTCTTCTGCCAATTAGGTAAGCAATCACTATAACGATAATCAAGCCTGAAAGACCAGCACCAACTATAATTGGTATTAGAATGGTGTCATCATCCAGCGAACACTCCTGGGCTGTAGGTGAGAAAAAGTGTGTAACAAATAATGAGTATAATCAAAAGAGAATGTCCAAAAGTAAAGATGTTGATTCAAAGTCAGAAATGCTCTTACAAAATAAATTTCAACAAAAGCAGGCATATTTTTATGATAATGTAGAGAAAGTGATGACCGGTTAAAGTTAAAATCCGAAAGTGTATCTGTCCTTTTGTTTGTGAGTATATCAGAGAGTATTCCTATGTGTCAATAATGGATGCTCATTTATTGCTCTGCGTAAAACCATGTATCATATGATATACACACTGCATTACACTACTAAGATAGGAAAACTACTTTATCAGAAATGAAGAGACCTAAACCAGCCCATGTCTACAGAACCAGCTTAACCTCTGAGTGGGAAAGTGGACATCTCTGGGGAGATAAAGAACACCAGGGCTATCATTGGACTAAACAACTGCTGCCTCTGGAGTTCTTTAACAGTGGGGATCAGCAAACTACAGCCCATGGGCCAAACCTGGCTGAAGAACTAAAAGTAGCATGAATAATCAATTTTAAATGATTGGAAAAGAAGGTATTCTTTTGTGAAACATGAGCATTACATGAAATTCAAATTTTCATATCCCTAAAGTTTTACTGGAAGGCAGCCACACTCGTCTGTATGAATTGCCTAGAGAGGTTTCCAAACTACAATGGCAGAGTTAAAGAGTTGTGACATACACCATACGACTTCAAAGCTTGTGAAATCAATTTAGACTTTTTCTCAAAAAGCTTGTATGTCCCTGGCTTAAAATATGTGAAGAATTAAGAAACTAGGACCTCTTACAATGCTAAGTGTGTTTACTATGTGTTTTATCTCTCTGGCTCAGAATAGCAGGCCAGAGGGGCTTTTTTTTCTATTTATAGCAAGCAGTCCTATCTAATAAAATCCAATCAACGCTCTTCAAAATGACTGCAATTCTATTTCCTCCCTGAATACACTGACGTATTACCTGGGTGTTATATTTATAGTTATCCACAACCAAGAACCTAGTTCCATAAATAGATTGTGCATTCAGTATCAGTATTAAACATTCTATATCTCTCTGGCACCCAACCTTTCAAATTAGGCAAAGAGCATAGCTCATCTTGGGCCACTGCCAACTAGATAAACAGACCTGAACTGAGACTAATACTGCAGATGATTTTAAATTCTAAATACAAATTCAGACCTCAAATTAGAATAATGATGTAGGGGAGCTAGATGAAGATTTAAAAAAAATAAATCTATTACAAGATCAAAATAATTAAAGTAATACGCAAAACAAACACACGGGAAGAGATTGGATTCTATTTTGGGTTTTGGGAAGCAGGATTTCATAGACACCAGCCTAACCTCGAATTGACTATGTAGCCAAGGATGACCTTGAACAGCTGCTAACCCTGCCTTGACTGCCTGAGTACTATGATTATAAGCATGTCACCACTCCTGGCAAAGCAAATGGAGTCTTGAAATTTTGAAGCTATGAATAACCTTTTGTCCCCACAAGAATGGTAGGGTAAATAAAGGTCCGACTATGTGTTTGGTACTCCTGTAAATGTACCGAACAGTTCACAGCTGAATAGTTCACAGCATATTCACTTTAATCACAGCTTCTCCATTTACTTATAAACCTCGAGATTAATTGTTTGAAAGGATGGGGATGACTGAAATAGTTCTGCTCAGCAAAGCTCTGCTCAACAAACCCCCAATTTTAAGTAATTGGTTTAAAAGCATAAGTCACTTAAGGAATTGGCTGTACTTTTTTCTGTCATGCAAATTTTAATCTGCAATGCCAAATGCATATTTCATATTCACACAAATACAATATAATGAACTGTACATGAGGATTTCATTAAAAACCTGATAAAGGCCACCATTAGCCCAAACAAAGTGGGTCTTCAAAAAGTCTTATTTGAACTTAGACTGGCTTTAAGGACTGTCTATGTCATTTTGGCTGGCAGGCTAGGATTCATGGGATATGGGCCTTTGCTACCACTACCACCCTTTATCTTGTGTCTTGAGCAAATCAAACCAAACTGTTTTCATCTGGGTATGAAAATGTTTCCCAAGATGGTCCCCAGAAGGCAGCTATAAGGTGCTTGAAGCTGTTGCTCCAAGTGCCTCCCCTCCCCAAACTCAACCTTAGGGGATAACCTGTTTCTTAAAATGATTTTCAGATTTTCAAAAATTACATCTACTTTGACCAAAATGATGAGCCAAATGTAGTTACACAATTTGTCCCAGGCTCTGAGAACTTTCTATCGAATCGAGAGGGGAATTTGTATTTCTCTATGCTCATGGACAGAATCCCCCGAGACTCGGAGGAAAAGCCACCTATAGGATGACAGAAGAACATAGTAACTACAGTTTGTTTGCTTCTTACCTGTGGCATACTTTCCTTTCGTCACATTAAAAGGTTGCACCTTTAGGTTAAAGGTGTTTATCTGAAACGTTCTAGACACTGAAACAACCTGCTCTTTGTTGCACATATAAGAACTTCCAAGAGGGGCATCCCAGAAGCTAAGGTTGTTATTTGCAACACTGAAAACTGCAGGAAATAAAACAGGCTAATTAACTTCTTAATCTAGCAACATAAGAAAAATGAGACAGTCTCTAGGGTTGGAAGGGTTTTAGTAAAATATAGCAGTTTGAAGTCAGGCTCTGACCCCCAAAAAGCAACTCTTGCCATCACTAAGTTCACTTAATTTGTTTTCTTTTGCTTGGTTTCTGACACAGGACCTCACTATATAGCCCAAACTGACCTAGGGCTCACTATGCATCCCAGGCTGTTTTCAAACTTATGACCCTCCTTGTCCCTGCTTCCCAAGGCTGCAATTCCAGGAATGTACCACCACATCTGCTTCTCCTTAGTCTTTCCATCAATGCTTCTGTAGTCTAAATTTCAGGCATTTCATTAGCAATTACCCACCATACTTTGAAAAGATGATTCTGCAGAGCAGATGATTCTACAAGGGATACACTGTAGTTCTATACTACATAGTACGGTCTAGTTCTACAGTAGACTCTAAGCTGTGATCAAGAAGTATTTTTACATAGCATCTTCTATTTCATAAGACATGATCTGGCCATAAGCTAATTATCACTTCCACTCCTTCCATAAATCCAGAACTCTTCTCCCCCAGGACAATGCTGTGCTTACCTGAGCCATTAGCCATATACATGCTGACGTTAACTTCCTTCAGATAGAAATGGCTTTCACTTTTCTGTTTGAAAAAGAGCTTCCAGTTAATAACATATCACAGCTGTCTAAATAACAGTTAATATCAGCAGAAAAGCAATCTAGCACTGTTATACAGATGAGGACACCATCAGACATCAGCCAGCAGTATAAACTACAACTTAAGTCTTGTCGCTAATTGTAACAAAACCATTTTCCAATGCATTTCATTTCTAAACTCTTTGAGCACATTATTCAGGAATTCCTGTATACAGGATGATTCATTTCCTCTGTTTTATTCTTCTTGTCACTTGCTGAGTCCATACTATTTGGCGTAGGTCACAGTGTGACCTTTTTTGTCTTTTTATTTTGGTTTGGTTTTTTGACTCAGGGTTTCTCTGTGTAGTCCAGGATATCCTGGAAGTCCGAGGCTGTCTGGTCACTCTGTAGACCAGGCTGGCCTTAAACACAAAGATCTGCCTGCTTCTGCCTCCTAGGTGCCACCATTCCAGGCTCACAATATGACCTTTGAACTGTGTGCCCTGCTTTCAGATCCTCCAGTTCGGTTCTCTTACTTTTCTTATTATCTATCATATCTGCTCATCATATTGGTTTTCCAATACTATTACCTTTGCATTCTATTTTTGCTTTCTAACCTTTGTGTTTGGGGCTGGAACCTAGGGCTTACTGCACATAACATGCAAGCGTTATTCAATTGAGGACATCATCAGCCCGATGTTTGTCTAATACAATTTTCATTACAGTTATTTGTTTTGTGTGTATGGATGCATGAACTTATAATGTGTCATGTGTGGAGATCAGAGGACAATTTATGGGACTTGGCTCTCACCCTCTACCATGTTGGTTCTGGGGATGGAACTCAAATTATCATCAGGCTTGGCAGCAAGTGTCTTTACCCACTGACCCATCTTGCCCCAGTTTTTTTGTTGTTGGTAGTTTTTTTTTTTGAGACAAGGTTTCTCCAGGGAGCCTTGGCTGTCCTGAAATTCTCTCAGTAGACCAGGCTGCCCTTGAACTCACAGGGATCCACCTGTTTCTGCATCCCAACTGCTGGAGTGAAAGGTGTGTGCCACCAAAACCCAGCACTTAATTATATGTATTAATGGCGCTCGGTGTGATACCCTGATACATGCATACAGTGTGTACTAACCAAGTAAGGGTAATTGGCATTCCCCTCACCTTAGAACTGTTAATGTTTGAAGCTTTGATGTCCCCTTTTCTTGTTTTTTTTTTTTTGGTTTTTGTTTTGTTTTGTTTTGGTTTGGTTTTCCGAGACAGGGCTTCTGTTTAGCTTTGGAGCCTGTCCTGGAACTCGCTCTGTAGACCAGGCAGGCCTCAAACTCACAGAGATCCTCCTGCCTCTGCTGCCCCCCCCCAATGTCACCTTTTCTAGATCTTCATAAAATATAAACTAGGGTACTCTGAACTAGTCATCCCATTGTGGTAAGGAACACTTTCTGTATCTTATCCAGTATCCCTCTACCTAGCCTCCCCTCCTTATCTTTCTGAAACCGATGAACCAGCCATTCTAATAATATAAATGCTTAGCATATACCAAGTAACACATCTAAGTGCTCCATGGAACTAACAAGGTGAAACATACTTGTATATTGCCCTCTTAGTGCTGGTAATGTGCCAAGGAACATAAGATAAATACATAGGAAATTAAAGATACAGCTCAGTGGTGAAGGGCTTGCTTAGTTAGCATTTATGAGCCGTGGAGTTCTGTTCCCACACCAACCTCACTGGTCTCTGGACTGGAAAGAAAAGACATATAAATAAGCTAATCCTGTTACAAAAAAAAAGTAGCAAGTTAAGAAAATTGACAGGGTCGGGCACTGGTGGTACACGCCTTTAATCCCAGCATTCGGGAGGCAAAGGCAGGCGGATTTCTGTGAATTCGAGGCCAGCCTGGTCTACAGAGTGAATTCCAGGACAGGCTCCAAAGCAATAAAGAGAAACCCTGTCTTGAAAAACAAAAAAAGGAAGAAAAAGTAAAGAAAATTGGCAGGAATGATATTATTTCCAATGGGGAATTTGGTTACAAAACAAGTAGATATATTCGAGAAGGCAATAATCGAATAAGGAAAGGTGATCAGAAATAAGCATTATCTACACACTTGAGAACTAAGTGCCAACCATTGTTCTTTTGGTATGTGAGACAGTGGATTAAACCCAGCATTCTACACACAGTGGGCAAGCATCCCCAGCCATTTTATTTGCTATTTTGAGAAAAGGTCTCACTAGCCCATACTAGCACTGAAAACGTAACACAGGCTGGCCTTGAATTTGCAATCCTCTTATCTCAGTCTCCCAAGTAGCTGGGAGTATAATACCTATGCCACCAGCCCTGGCTCCAACACCTCTATACTACTGATGCCATTATTGTGCCCAGTTTAAAATGAATCATTCAGGCAGAGAGTTGCTAAGTGACCTCCCACACTGATGCCAATTACTAATCGTCAAGCTGGAATTTCAACCCAAAATCTGGCTACAAATATATGGACTGGTTACTGTCGTGCTCAGACTTCATAAGCTATGTCTCAAAGTCAGAGTAAAGGAGAGCCTGTTCTTGCTGTATCCAAGAGGCTAGTGAAATACCATAGTGACATTTTTTGTTGAGTGTTATTTTTTTGAGACAGTGCCTCACAGTCCAGCTAGCCTTTGATTCTTCATCTTCCTGCTTTACCGTAGGTAGATGTATACCTCCTTCCCTGTCCACAGGTACTTCTTATACATCAGATACTGAGACTCCATCCCAGGCAGGCAGTGGTGGCACACACCTTTAATCCTAGCACTCAGGAGGCAGAGGCAAGCGGATCTCTGTGAGTTCGAGGCCAGCCTAGTCTACAGAGCGAGTGCCAGGATAGGCTCCAAAGCTACACAGAGAAACCCTGTCATGATAAACCAAAGAAAAAAAAGAGACTCTATCTCCATCCATACATATAGTAATATGATTGACAGCTAAAGTAGTTTTTATACAATGATATAGCAGTTCTGCTCAAGAATGGTGGTGACTCCTCATCTTCCCTCACTTGAAAACTATGGCCTATTCTTCATTCCCATTTGCTACTATGGCACACATAGAACCACACAACATTAAAACTAGTAATTGTTTCTGACATGGTAGAAATTAGGTCTCCAGTTACTAACAGCTGCTAGCAAGGAGAACAGGTGTGCCTAACAGCTCCTAGTTCAGATCTTAACAAAAGCATAATCAACAAAAAACTGTATGCTGGCACTATAAAGGATCCTGGTTTAATGAGTTAATGTGTGCACTTAACACAAAGCCTACATGTAACAAGAGAACTGTCCCTCAAATTCTCAGAGGATCAGCACCAGGATCTACTAGAAATACCAAAATCTAGGATGTTCAAATCCCTTTTTCAAAATGGTGATACTTGCTTACAATTTACACACATCTTCTGTATACTTTCAATCACCCCCACATTACTTATGATCCTTAAATATAAATGCTATGTAGAAGGAATAGTGCATCGTTTACATTTTAATAACAAGAACTATAACTATAAATGCAATTTTTGTGGCTCTGGGGACAAAACACAGGGTCCTGGGCATTCTAAGCAAAATTGTCTGCCACAAATCTTGAACCACAGACCTTTTTACTTGATATTAACTCAAGGTTGGTTTAATCTGTGTATGCAGGATCAAAGGTGTGTACCACCATCACTCAGCCTGACTATGCTTATTAATGCTAGCTATTACTAGTACAGACACTATTATCTTGTAGAGCTGGCTCAGCAGTTGGGAGCAGTAGCTGTTCTTCCAGGACCCGGTTTCAATTCCCAGTACACATATGGCTGCTTGCACTGGTTTGTGGCCTCAGTTCCAGGGGATTGGGCACCCTCTCACAGACATGTATGCAGGCAAAACACCAATGTACATAGTAATAAATATATCTTTTAAAAAGAATCTTAACCTGGGTGGTGGTGGTGCAGGCCTTTAATCCCAGCACTCAGGAGGCAGAGGCAGGCCTATGAGTTCAAGACCAGCCTGGTCTACAGAGCGAGTTCCAAGACAGCCTCCAAAGCAATACAGAGAAACCTTGTCTCAAAAAAAAAAAACAAAAAAATACAAGTCCAGCCCATAGACAATGGAACTGACTCAAAAATGAACAAGCATAAGTGAGCTTTCCTTCATAGTAGTTAGGTGTTAAAAGTGAAAAGAAATCCAAATATCACACACACATACATCTACCACTGTTTAGACTTTCAGATATACTTGTCAGAGAAAGAACTTTAGAAAACAGTTGGTACTCACCACAGCAAAGATAAAGTCAAGATACTTAATTTGGCTGTTGTTCAGCCTAAGTTGAGCAGTTTGAGGATGACAGCTGCCGGTGAAGTTAGTTGTACTGGGGTTGATGTTAAAAATGAAAGGCACCTTCAGGAGAATAAGCAGAAGGAAGATACAGATTAACTCAAAGTCCATAGCAAAGCCTTATACTCTGATGGAACCAACCTCAATGTACAACAAAAACTCCTTTGTTTCAATACTTGAATTCCTGGTGTCTTTCTTTCACGAGAACTTGGCACAAGCCCTCAAGCTATGACTCAGCCGACTTCAACAACAATAACAAGAGAGAAACTTCCTCAGTAATGAGCCAGATAAAAACACATTTTTACAGAGCACAAGAGCCATCTGTCTTGGCTTGTTTCAAATCACAGGATCCTGAAAATGGGATTTGTTCATTGGCACTCCCCCTGGTGCCCCAATGAGGTACTGCAACCAAACGAGTACTTGAGAGCTGATCTACGGGCTCTGACTCATCAAACAGCCTTGCTCCTCCTGCACGCCAACCTACAACGTGGCTCAAAGAAAAGGGGGAAAGAGTTTTGGATGGTTTTGAATTTTTGCTGGCGTTGGGATGGCACCCGGGGTCTTGTGCATGTTATGCAAGTGCTTTTCCACTCAACTACATCCATTCCCATTCCCAACTTGTACTGACGGTTGATAGAATCTAAACCATGAAGAAGTCTTTCAAACCGGTAGGTTTTCTGCTGGCCAAGGGGCCTTGAAGGTGACATTAACTCTTCGTGGTTATAGTCATTCCAAACTAAGCAAAACTCAAGTCAAATGAGGAGACCTTGGAAATCTATGGAGCCCCTTGTAGTGGATCAGTACTTATCCCTAGCATAGGAATGGACTTTGGGAGCCTATTCCACATAGAGGGATACTCCCTGAGCCTAGGCACATGGGGGTGGGCCTAGGCCCTACCCCAAAGGATATGACAGACTCTGAAGCCCCCTATGGAAGGGCTCACACTCCCTGAGGAGCAGAAAAGGTATGGGATGGGTAGGGCATTAGTTGGGGGGGGCAGGGAAGGAGGGGAGGGAGAGGGAACTGGGATTGACATGTAAAATAATTTTCTTTCTAACAAAAAGGAAAAAATAATAAAAAACAAAAAACACATTTGCATGAAAAAGATTAAAAAAAAAAACTCAAGTCAACACCAAACCTGCAATTAAACTTGACTCATTCTAGTAGCAGTTCTTAAGTATGTGGTAACCTATACATTACCTGAGATGAAAGTCTTTTAAAAAAAGGTTTATTGATAAAGCAGACAACCCTACCTTCTCCTCAGTGACATTCAGCTGCAGTCCCATGGTAGCCAGCAGACAGGTAGCATTGCCATTACTAACGGAATAGTTTCCAACCTTTGGAGGCAGTGGAGTGGGTGTCGTAGTAGGAGGTGGCACAGTAGTGTGAATGATGGGTCTTACAGTGGTGACAGATTTGTCTTCCTCACACACAAATTCTAAAACAAAGGATAAAATAAGCTATGGTAGTCTTCTTGCTTTATCAGGCCAGGGGAGAGCAAACTACTTCTCAGAGTTAGGTTTTCACAGTCTATGAGTGTTAATTCAAGCAAATGAAGACCTTGGTGGAATATTTTTAAAGTGGATGAAACAGGGGTTCTTTCACTACTGTTTCATATACAGGTAATCTCTTGTGAGTTTTGACCAGAGTAGACAAACTCAGAACACATCAGAAGGTTATAGCTACTCAAGTATAACGATATATTCTTTTTTCAGGCCCACAAAGGTATTTATTGCAAAGAACTTCACCTGCCTCTGATGGGAAAGTCATAGCATGTCTGAGAACACCCCCAGCCCCAGCTAAAATGTCTTTTCCTTCCAACATACAACCACTGTGAGGAAGGACACTGCTTACTAAAAAATAGTTTGGAAATCGTTAAAGAGTTTTGAATACAACGGAATCTTTTCTTTCCATTACCCCACAGCAGGTCACAGGCACTGAAATCCCTTCTTAGGAAGTATTAGTAGTTTTCCAATAATGAATATGAGATTATTACATTTCTAGTAAAAACCACATAACATTGTTTTAAAATCAACTTCTAAAAGGTCAAGGTTAGAACACAGAAATCTGATTTCTAAACTTTGGGCACAGAACTGCTAAGAGCACATGGTCAAGCAATTTGAGGAATTGTTCAATGGTCAGGTTTTACAGGCTGAAAACATCAGAGAAAGTATTTTTAAAAGATTATTCCAAGGGCTACATAAATGGCTCAGCAGTTAAGAGCACTATTTATTCTTCCAGAGGATCTGAGTTCAAGTTCCAGCACCCACATGGTGGCTCCCAACTGTGTCTAGCTCCAGTTACAGGAGATCAGACAGCAGGCACACATCTGGTGCACAGACATACATGCAGGCAAAACACGCATACCTACAAATGAAAAAACACCCCAAATGACTATTCAGAGCCAGGCATGGGAGTGTATTTTAGTTCAAGCAGTCTAAGAAAGAGAAAGAGGCAAATACATCTCTGGGAGTTGGAGGCCAGCCTGGTCTCTATAGTGAGTTCCGGGCCCTGTCTCAAAAAAAAAAAGAAAAAGCCATTCCAAGGCTGAGGCTGGAAGATATACCTCAGCTGGTAAAGTATCTGCTCTGCAAGTCTGAGACTTGAGATAAAACCCCAGAATGAGCCCGGAGCTGATGGAACACACATTTGATCCCAGTACTTGGGAGGCAGAGGCAGGCGGATCTCTGTGAGTTCAAGGCCAGCCTGGTCTACAGAGCAAGTGCCAGGATAGGCTCCAAAGCTACACAGAGAAACCCTGTCTTGGAAAAAAAACAGAAATAGAAAAGAAACTCCTGTAGAAAATAAGCATGGAGACATATGCTTTCAATACCAGTGCTGAAGGAGCAGGTAGCCACAGGAAGATCCCCACAACTCCCTGGACAGCCAACCTAGCCCACTCAGTACTTTCCAAGACAGTGAGAGACCCTATCAAAACCCATGTGGATTGGACCTGAGAAGTTATACCCAAGGTGGACCCCTGGCCTCCAGGCACGACCCCCAACTCTCACACACCATTCCTTATATATAATCATAAACCTGCAAGTGAAATTACCAGTAAGAAAGCTATGACTTTAAACAAGGCATGATGGCCAGACCTTTAGTCCCAGGAGGCAGAAGACAGGTCTCTGAGTTCAAGGCCAGCCTGGACTACAGAACAACCTCTAGGATAGCCAGGACTATGCAGAGAAACCCTGTCTCAAAAAAAAAAAAACAAAAACAAAAAAGAATTATTACCATTTTAAAAATATTTAGACTGGCCAGGTGGTAGTGGTGCACACCTTTAGTGGGAGGCAGAGGCAGGTGGATCTCTGTTAGTTCAAGACCAGCCTGGTCTACAGAATGAGTTCCAGGGCCGCCAAAGCTACACAGAGAAATGCTATCTCAAAAAAAAAATAAACTGTGTGTTAAGAAATGTTCTCAGATGACCACATCAATAATACAGTTGGCCCTTAAAATAAGAGCATATAAATCCATACTTTGAGCACTCACCTTCTTTACTCACTGTGCCATTTTGAACAAAAGCTTGCAGGTGAATATCCCAATAGTTCTGGACCACATTACCCGTCTTGAAAGTTAGTAAACTATTGCACCTAAAGATGTCATCCAATGGAATTTCGATGCTCTGAGAACTGATAACAGTAGCACTTCCTATAAAACAATATTAACAATGGCATTTCCAGGAAAACATGAAAAACTGCTAATACATTAACATACAAATGTAGGTTCTTTTCTTCTAGGCCTCCCCCCTACCCGACCATGCCAAATGTGGGGCATGTTGACAGAAATGACAAGTTCCCTGTAACTGAAACTATAGGGAGCAGGGAAGACAAGTAATAAGACAGCAGTAAGACTGGAGGGATGACTCAGTGGTTAAGAACATTTCCAGCTCTTCCAGGGTTCCAGAGTTCAGTTCCCAGCAACCACATGGAGGTTCGAAACTGCTTGATTCCAGTCCTGTGTGATTTGACACCCTTTTCTAGCCTCTGTGGGCAACAGGCATGCCTGCAGGCTTTCCACTTTAGCTGCTATTATTTTAATTGTTTTGGGTGTATGTGTGTTCATTTGCATGATGGTTATGGACACAAACACACGTTGGGAGGTCAGAGGAGAAACTGCAGGAGATGGCTTTCTCTTTCTTGCACAGGTTCCAGAGTGCCAACTCAGCTTGTCAGACTTGCACAACAAGCGCTTTTACACACAGTCATCTGGACAGCCCCACATCAGTTTTTTATATATACAATCTATTCTCATCACGTTTTCTCCTCTCTCAACTCCTCCCTTTCCGTCCCCACCTCCCTATCCACCCAACTTCAAGTCCCTTCCTCTCCCTACTCCCGCTCTCTCAAAATAAGCAAGAGCACAGCAATGAAAATTGAAACAAAAAAGTGCCAAAACAAAAAGTCCACAAAGACACACACACAAACAAAACAAAAACAAAAAACAGGAGTCCATTTTTTTTGCTGGTTAACTACCAGCTGGTACCAATTACAGATAGCATGCTTAGGAGTGGGGCTTAAAAGAGGAAATAAGGTCTAATTTCTTTTAAGGGCTGTAACAAATATGCAGCAATAAGCAGAGAAAACCCCAAATTTTAATTAGCAGGGGAAACAGAAGGCCAATGGGCTACTTAGGTAAAAAGTGAGAGTGGAAGGGAGGGGGTTGCCAACACGAAGATAGTGATGACCAGGAGGAAAGGTCAAATTAAAAATGCCTCTCCAGCCCGGCCGTTGGTGGCGCAGACCTTTGATCCCAGCACTTGGGAGGCAGAAGGAGGCTGATCTCTGTGAGTTCGAGGCCAGTCTAGTCTACAGAGAGAGTTACAGAACAGGCTCCAAAGTCACAGAGAGACCCTGTCTCAGAAAACCAAAAAAAAAAAAAATGCCTCTCTAGGTAGGAGAGGCCTTAGTGACTATAAGAAAGGAAGAGTCCTGAAAACATAGCTGAGTGGATAGAGTGCTGACACTCTACAGGTACACCAGAAGCCCAGGTTCAATACCCAGTACCCCACAAAATGAATCAGGTGGTGGAGCCAAACAGGCAAGTACTGAAATCCCTGCCACTCCAGAGCTAGAAGCTGGAAAAATGGGACTTCAAGCTCATGCTTGGCTTCAGTTGGCTAGAGGCCCACCTGGGCTTCATTAGAAAGACAGAGCTCTCCTCCTCCCTGGGCTGCAGAGGTGACTAAAGGAGTGACTTGGATTAATTCTCAGGGCCTACATGAAGATGAGAGAACTGACTCCACGAAATTGTTCTCTGACCTCCACATACACACACCATGGCACACACATTCACACACATCATAACAGTGATGATAACAACTATTTTTCAAAAGATAGTTGGATTAAACACAGTTTTGTAATGATCTCTATTTTTGTGGCACTATCCACAAGTATGTTACATCAACTGTAATTTATTTATAAACTTATTCCTAGATGGAATTTAAACATGATTCCAACTGGGCGTTGGTGGTGCCTTTGATCCCAGCACCCGGTAGGCAGAAGCAGATAGATCTCTGTGAGTTCGAGGCCAGCCTGGTCTACAGAGTGAGTTCCAGGACAGGCTCCAAAGCTACACAGAGAAACCCTGTCTCAAAAAACAAAAATGAATGAATGAATGACAAAGAAAAATAAAGATAATTCCATTTCAGGAAATCTTTAGGTAAAAGAAGTTACAACGCTATGAACAGAGTTCTTATTGGAATGCCTACAGTGAAACTTCAAAATACTGATTTCATACAAATCTAAATAGCTTAATCTCTTGGAGAAGCAGAAAGGATGGCATTAATGATCATTAATAGAGGCCTTCTGTGCCTCAACATGTAACCAGGTAGCCACTTAATGCTATCTTGGCACCCCCTAATGGGCAGATGAGGTTTGAGGGTTTTTTTAAATTTGAATTTGTTTTCCTAAAATTGTTGCCTTCTTATCAAAAAAGGAACAGATGTGAACTTGCTATATAAAGACGGACCTCAAAACACAATGAAGGGGAAACCAGGCATGGTGCTGCATGCCTTTACTTCCACAACTCAGGAAACAGGAAGATGGATCTCGGTATGGTTGATGCCAGCCTTCTCTACATAGTTGAGTTCCAGGCCAGCCAGAACTACTTGCTGAAACCCTGTTTCACAACAAATTAAACAAACAAAAACAATGATGGAGGCACCAGGCCCACGCCTTTAATCCCAGCGCTCAGGAGGCGGGGCAGGTGAATCTGAGTTTGAGGCCAGCCTGGTCTATAGAATGAGTTCCATCCAGGACAGCAAGAGCTGTGACACAGAGAAACCCTGTCTTGAAAAAAAGAAACTGATGGGGAAAAAAGTTCTAGTCACATTAGGGTTATACTATGAAACTATATAAAAGTTACAACTATTATTTATGAACATAGATAATACACACAGGAATGCTACTCCCTAAATTTACAAGGCTGGTTGCTTCTAGCAGGCAGGGAGGAAAGTGTAGCTGAGGAGTACCTTAAATAGATCTGTAAAGTTTGTTTCTTTAATATAATGAAGCAGCCATTTTAAAACTGCATTTATTAGGCCAGGCGCACGCCTTTAATCCCAGCACCCAGGAGGCAGAGGCAGACAGATCTCTGTGAAATGGAGACAAACCTGGTCTACATAGGGAATTCTAGGACACTTAGGGCTATACAGTAAGGCTTTGTTTAAAATAAAAAAATAATTCTGAGTAATGTGTCTCTGTAGGTCTGCTATATTATTCTCTAGTTTTTTTGTATTTTAATCATGAAAACATTTTTAATAGCAGCTTCAAAGTTACTTCAATTAGTAAATGCCTAAAAATTAGTATTTCAAAATACTAAATTATTTCAAAGGCAATTCCCTAAAGTACATGTAAGGAAAGTATTTTCAATTCCAAACAGTCTTGATAAATACTTTATTATACAGAAGACAATCATAGAAAAATTCATCAAACACTAGTTTAAAAACAAGGAAGGGGCAGCATGTCAGTGATTTTATCCTTTAACAGTTGCCCACGTGGTTGGGGCATGCATTACGTCATCTCCTGATTATTGCAACAGCCTCTGAAACTGGCTTCTCTGCTTGTAGTCTCCTCACTTCCAAATTAATCGGGCAGTATTCTCTATAAACCATTCCCTTTGCTTTGCTTATATCGTTTTTCTGGCTTAGGAAACTTGCCACAGTTTCCCTGGTGCCTACCCCATCATGCTAAAGGCCCTTTCTTGGCTTCTCAGGACCCCTATTATGAGGCCCACTGCACTGAGCCAATGGTCTTTGCCTCCTGCTACACGTACAGACAGCCTGGATTTAATCAGGCAACTCGCCAATGGCTGCTGCGCATCCTCTGCTTCCCCCTGGTGGAAACACTCTGCTCAACAGTTTCCCACTTAACATTCTACCATTAGCAACTACAACTCAGGACCAATTTCCCCAGCAAGCTCTTTTACTCCTCCATCACAAACTGACCCCTCTCTTTCTGTTTCCAATGTCTTCTCTCTCTGCCCCTCATCAGGATCACTAGTGAGAACACTCAGAAAGTAGGCAGGCACTCAGCCCAGGAATCCAAAGAGACAATTGGAGAATGCATATTACATTCTAAATTTACTGTATGCTTTTTTGTGGTTGAGAAAGAGAGTCTAGAACCTTCCTCCCATGCTCAGAAAAGATGTATGAAGTCTCTACCCACTCAAACAGAAACCACAAACAAAAAATTCAGACTGAGCTCCGTGTTCTCCCTATCACTTCGGAATACAATTAAGCTTTGTCTCCCTCAATGATTTCTAAACCCCTTGAAAGTCAAGGACAAATCTTATTCTAGTTATTAAAGATAATGCAACCATGCCTCACCCACAGAGATAATATCTAAAATAGCCAATAAACTCTTGCCTCAGTTATTCTCTCAAATTAAGAGATTAGCAGAATTAAAGCTTGGATTTGCACAAGAAAACCCACAGAATCAACTAACCTGGGCTCACAGAGACTGAACTGACAACCAAGGAGCCTTCGTGGGACTGACCTAGGCCCTTTTCTTTTTCTTTCTTTCTTTCTTTTTTGAGACAGGGTTTTTCTGTAAGTTTAGAGACTGTCCTGGAACTCTATTTAAAGACCAGGCTGACCTTGAACTCAGAGCTCCTCCTGCCTCTGCCTCTCCAGTGCTGGGATTAAAGGTGTGCGCCACCAACGCCAGCATGCCCTTTTAATATATGTTCTGGTTGTGTAGCTTGGTCTTTGTGTGAGACTCCTAACAGTGGGAGCACGGGCTGTCTCTGACTCTGTTGCCTACTTTTGGGACCCTTTCCTCCTACTGAGTTTTCTCATTCAGCCTTAATAGAAACGGAGGTGCCAAGTCTCACTGAATTTGATAACCCATGGCTGGCTTATAGCCATAGAGGGCTCCATTTTTCTGAAGAGAAACAGAGGAGGATTGGAAGTGGAGAGACTGGGAGAAGAGGAGGGAGGGAAAATAGCAGTTAGGGTGTAAAAATTATTTTTAAAAAGCTTGGGTTTGATTTTTCAAGTCTTAGTTTGTGCTAGCTCTGAAGTTTAACGTGAAACTCATTCACTTCTGAGTCTTTGGGGGGAGGCAGGGTGGAGACAGGATTTCTCTGCATAGCCCTGGCTGTCCTGGAACTTGGTTCTGTAGACCAGGTTGGCTTTCAACTCAGACATTCACCTGCCTCTGCCTCAAGAGTGCTGGAATTAAAGGTATGCGCCACCACCACCTGGCTCACTTTGGAGTCTTTAGGGCATGATATTTCCATCCACCAGTCCAAAGGTATTATTATTAAACCCCAAATCTAGGCACCTGATGTTAATCTGTCAGTGTTTGTGCAGTCAGAATGGCATACGAGATGAGAGGTGCTAACTACTCCAGACACCAT